AATGACCCCCTGCCCTGGCACCAACCAATCAGTGGGGACCAGGATCCTGAAAGAGCACACCTGGAAAGCTGATGGATATTCTATTGAGACACCCCTGAGACCTCCCCTAAGATTTCCACCTGCAAGAAAGAGAGAAATACACTCAGGACAAAAGAACCAGTGTGCACCCCCAACGGGGGAACATGCCAGTGCCATCACCATCCCCCTTCTTCCCTCTGAGGGGACCCCATGAGACTTACAACCAAGGGAGTACTGGGTAGAGGCAGCTCATCCTGGGCTTACCCCTCAACCTGTCTCCAAGGCCCCCTTCTCTCTCTGCCTTCTCAGTGAGCAAAAGCAGCCCCGCCTGGGCTCTCCGGTTTCTTCTTCCATGCTCTTCCTTGTTTCACTGTCCTAAGTATATTTTTGCTGCCATTATGGACCCAATACCCATTGACTCAGTGCTGTGTTGCCCTTCCCTTTGGGTATCCCCATCCCCCATCCCCTTTCCTTAAATAAATTCAATTTTTCTTTATCCACTGTCTGAGATGGCTATTTAGCCTGCCTGTGCACCACCGACCTTAACCTTTCACCAAACAGAACAGAACATGAGTGCTCATTCCCCCAAGACAGAAATGATGAAGCTGGTTTTCGAAAATGAGTTAGTAAAGTGGATGGTAACATGCAATGACCACCTGTGAGTACTGGCTTTGGATGCAACTTGGGGTGCAATACTATTCACATCCATAGCATGAGACAAGGGCAGCACTCAGCTCAAAGGGCGACATCTGTGGGGCTTGAATTACTGTAATGGATTAATAACTAAAGAATCTGCTTTGGAAAATGAATTGCAGAGCTCATATGAAAGAAATGGACAGTCTGAAATTCAATTCATATTGGCCCATAAATGTGAAAACATTGGCTAAAAAGTTTGTTGTATATAAAAAAGTTTTTCCCATGGGAAAATATCAAATGAATGTTGAATTTAAAACTTTATTTTGGGGTTTCTATGAATACATTATATTTGTTTTTATAAAAGAAGCATGCTTATATGAGTACTAACACCAAATTTTTAAAAGCACACACTCAAAATGCAAGAGAAAGAATACTTTCTTCATTAGTGTGCAAGTAGTCACTTGAAAATACATCTGTATTTTGGGGGAGAAGATGTAATATTCCAATTGTCTAAATTTCCAAATGAAAATTTAAAACAAATAGTAAGTTTTAGCCTACAGCATCATCCATTCCCATAGAATGGATACTGCAACCTGGAGTTATGCATGGAAAAGTCCTGGTATAAACAAAGCAATGTATGAAATAGAGTAGACAAAGAAGTAAATATTCACATAAAATTACTGCACTATGTGAATATTGATTTGGTTTCTGTCATTAATGCTCCAAATAATCTCAGTAATATAAAAAAATATACTCACTAATATTTTTTCTAAAACACTAGTAGTATTTTTTTTTCTATGAATTAATAAAATATCAAATCTGTGGTCAAAGCAAATGATTTGAGAGAGCATGAGTCCTCATGAATTCAGTGGAGAATAACTTTCAGGAAAAAAGGGAAAGTTCCTCATATCCAGTGTTTCTTAATTTTCAAACCGCTTGAATTAAATAAACATAATGCAAGAACTGTACATTTTATATGACAATCTTCATGTGACAACTCAGGGAAAGATAATACTCCATATGCTACTTATAAATTCTGAATGTAAATTCATGATAAGGTAAGAAAGGAAATACTAATCAATTCTAATATTATTGTCAGTACTGTATTTGAAAAAATTAAGATTCTATTCTCTTATCTATACTGCCTAACCATAAATTGTGGAATAACACTGAGAGTAAGTAGGGTAATCTAAAGATATTCCATTTAACACACTGGATTCTTTAATACAAACTGACATATTTCTGCACATATTTATAAGGCTTGGTGCCTATTATTAGGCTGTAACTGCAGTTGTTCTAACATCTAATAAGCCATGGTTGAAAAAACAAAGGCAGGTTAATTTGTGATTTCCTCAACTCATTCAGAGGCAAATTAAGTGTCAAACAGCTAATACAGAACATATTTCACTTTATGAGATTTTAATTTAATTCTGCCCCATATCGTTGATGATTTAATATAGGGTGGTTTATCTAAAAATAAGAGCAATTTATAAACCTCTTTCAATAGAATCTTTAATGATAATATATGATAGCAAGTATCATATTATTGCAGTGCCTGCCATCCCTTTAAGCAGAGATCTGTGAGTATTTCCATCATCAAATCCTGTTTTCAAGACTTAAAATTTAAATTTTAAAGATGGCACCAGAAGAACAATTATGTGTACAAAATAATGAGAATACTCACAAATTTTGTCTTCTTATAATTAAAAATATTTATTCTAAAAGCTTAGTAAGCTCACTTGATCTCATTTTCTATAATATAATTATATAGCAAGCATTCTGGACTTCAAGAATCAGATTTATGCTCTGCGACTGCTTGTCTGCTGTCTCCCTGACTAGACAACTTGAATGTCTCCTGAGCACCTTTTTTTTAAAAAAAATATATATCTTTACTGATTTCAGAGAGGGGAAGGAAGAGGGAGAGAGAGAGAGAAAGAAACATCAATGATGAGAGAGTCACTGATCAGCCGCCTCCCGCATGCCCCCCACCAGGGATCAAGCTCACAACCCGGGCATGTGCCCTGACTGGGAATCAAACCACAATCTCCTGGATCCTAGGTCCTTGCTCAACCGCTAAGCCATGCCTGGCCGGGCTCCTGAGCACCTTTTACAAAGTGCCCACCTAAGTGCCGGGCACTGTCCATGAAACTAACAGGGGCGGTGACCACTAAACAATAAATGATCAGGCAAGAGGGTCTGTGATACAATAAAGGCATATACAAGGTTCTATGAGGAACAGCCAGCAAAGGTGAGGTCCTGAGGGTGAGGTGTTTAAGTAGGCCCTTGCCATGCAGAGTCAGATCACTGAGGGAAAAGTAGAGAAAATGTCATATTATAAAGTCACAGAGGTATGGCTTGCGCTAGCTTCCTGCAGCCTACTTCATAAACTCAGTGTCTCCATCTAGGACCCTGCTAGGAGGCCACAGACCCAGGCTCCCACCACGTTCTTTACCCACAGTGATGACATTCTCTCTCAGAACCTTCCAGGACTTCTCTTTTGAGGCTCAGGATTACCCATCAGCTTTACATTATTAATCACTGGAAAACAATTTAGTCAACTGCTGCTAAAGTATCCTAAAGCTTGGTTGGAAAAGCAGGAAGTACTAAAATCTGTAAAAATCCCAGCTTACCAGTCATACTTGAAATGCAATCCCTTCCTCCAGGATTCTCCAAACTCAACCTAAGTTATCTTGTGACTTTTTTTTTTTTTTTTTTTTTTTTATCGCTAGCAAGCTAATCCAGTAGGCACAGTAATCAGGGCCTAGGACACATAGGATGGACTATATGAGGGCTTGTTTTTACATTCTGCCAAAGAACCAATACTTTGGATTTTTGTTGATAAATTCATATTTGAATTTAATTACAAGGCAAACTATAATGAACCCAGAGGAATAGGTCATCCAATCACATAAACTCATACTTTGAAATTTCTCTATAACATGATTTTCAAAGAGTGAAAAACTCTGAAATTGCATAGAAAATCTGATTTAAGTTTCTACATCACTGCAGAGACTGGGGGAATCAGCCATGCAAAACCTCTGTGTAACAGGTGAATTACACTGCAGATTTAAGCCTGAATTTGGAATATCCTTCCCTTTATATAGGGCATTTTAAATTGTCTTCTTGGTTTTATTTGAGTGTATTTTTAACAGGCCTTAGAACCCTGGAAATACTTATGTTCCAGTGAAAAATGAGAAAATAAGTCACAAGTTTCTGTATTCTCTTTCTCTAAATACCTACTTCTACAATGCAACACAGATTTATTACTTACCTCCAGGCAAATCTGCTCTGAAATTACAATTTAGCAATGGAAGATGGATCCAAAAAACTGTTGGTAAAATATTATATGTGTACTTGGGCATGTAGTTAGGGTTGTTAATATCAATTAATTCTGTTCACAGAGGAGGACTTGCTGTAGAACAACTTCATTTTTCTTTGGCACATACGTAATTACACAGCTGTAACTAATAGCCATAAAGATGCAATCTACTTTCTAAATAACGAGCATTATTCTTCAAAGTATTATTTGTGCTTTTCTAACTTTACTGTCTCAGAATGAAAGGTGATTCCTATATACAACTAAATGTGTGTGTGTGCGTTGTATGTATCCATTTGTAAGGGGCAGCCCTTCCTAGAAAGTGGTTCTAGTTATCTGGACAGTACTACAAACACAGGCATACACATGCACGCGCGCACGCACACACACACACACACACACATTTTAGTTTGAAAGTTATTTCTTTTCCCAAAACTGAGAAAGATAATATTTCCACAAGATTTTCTCCTTCTTTTTCTAATGTATGTTATCACCACCATTCTTTCCTTTTATCTTTGTGTAAACCATGTGCTCAATCACACTTGCCATTTTGTTTGGGTGACATTACCATCAATCAAATGACTGTTGGTGTACACACCACAGGGGCTATGAAAATTTACCATAGAAATTTCATTACTATTCATGTGATCCCTGGGGCAGGACTTTCACAAAACAGAAATTTTACCTTGAAAAACTTCAAACCCATTCTCAACCAAATACATATTCTTTGTAGTAAACTTCCATTAGTCCTCTACTTTTTAATTTAGTATTTACAGCCCATAGAAACATACGTCAGCAAAATATATAGGAATTACTTCCCAGCCACCTAGCATGACAGGCATTTTTCAGGAAGTATTGGGGATTTGTTTCAGTAGTCCAAGAATATATAGGCTTGCTGTATTTCAAAAGTAAACCTTATACTTCTACCACACCTTCAACCCCCAATAGCCGTGCTGAAACAAAAAGTCCTGAGATAGTAAAAGCTGGTATTTTGTTCTGTTGCATTACTGGATAAAGTTTTAATACTTACACATGCAGTGGAGGAATCGGAGACGGATCATAATGGTAACGCCCCTCATGATGTCTTGCATCGATTGGCACAGGAGGATGGAATGCAGGAAACAGGTGAGGAGGGTCTGAAAAAGAAAGTTCAACCTGTATAAAAGGAACCCTTTGGAACGGAATTCCAATTCCAATTCATGAGTCAACACTGCTATACTGTCTTCATGACTTACGCTGACCCTACTTTAAGAATTTGTGGAAGAACTCTTTAAAGTTCATTATTAGGCTTCATAAGGTACTGCAGAAGTCACTACTACCTGCATGTGAGAAAGTAGAGCCTAGGAATACAACCAAAACCTACAGAGGAAAGCAAGAAAGAAAAACATACGAGCCTACCCTGGAAGAAAGGCTAGCCAGAATAGAAGAACTAAGCCACAAAATCAAAAGGAACAGATTACAAGACACTTTTTTTTTTTAAAATTAAACTGTCAAGTGAATTTTAGACTAAGATGAAATATAAATATTAGTTTCACTTATCCCATACCCATGATGCTTTTTAAGGGAAGGAGTCTTTTCTAAAGCCCCTGGTAGAATCAATGGCATACACACAACACCCCACATACCTATACCACACACAACACATAACCCCACACAAACCCCACCTATCACACATGCATACCACACAAACATATACACACACAACACACACCACATATACAACACACACCCCCACACAAACCCCACATACACACCACACACACACCACATACCCAACATACATACCACATGCTACACACACACCACACAGGTATACCACATACACAACACATATCTCCACAAACACCCCACACTCTACACATACACACCACACAAACACCACACATCACACATACCACAAACACCACATGCCATACATATACTACACACAAGAAACACACACATTTTTTGTAATTTAAATGCATACTCCCCTTCATCTTGGCCTGGGTTATGCCTCCACAGTCCTGACACTGGGGTAGCAAATCTATAGGTTGGTGGCAGAAATGCTACAGGGCTTGCCTGCAGGAGAGGAGCTGACACCCTCAGACTGACAAAGGGTGGTTTGGGCAAACTGAGGGATTCCTATCCTTCAGCCTTAACATTCACCTTGGCTCCAGACCAACCTCCTGTCTTGCTCTGCTCAGGCTGGTGTTCACCATTTCCTGGGTTCCTGTGTGTACTTAAGTTACAATAGTTCCTCTACTCCCACTTACAGTAATTTATGCTGATTCTCTGGATATACTTTTTCCCCCCTAAATAGTGATTCACTGCAAAAACTGGAGAGTTTTGCTAAATTTTATCATTAGAAGCATGGGTGATATTTTGTAACTGACACTCCAGTTTTTACCAAGTTTCAAGAAGCAAAATAAAGGAGTTCAAAACCTGGAGGTGTGCCTCCATGGCTTTATATAAGCCTGATATTACAGTAAAAAAGCCAAACGTGTTCTTCAATAGTACCTTTCACACATGGTCGAGACTGAACATAGCCATCATGCTGCTATTGCCCATGAACTGGCAACACTCCTAGGAATTGATGTGTACACCAACATGCCTCCAAAGGGCTTCAAGCCATTTCTACAAGTCTGAAGATTTGCCTAGACCTGAGGATAGCAGGTGGTACAGGCAATTCCAAATGAGGCACTGCAAAAAGGTTCTGAGAGATGGCTGCAAGAAGCAACACAGAACCCTGAGGGCTGAGTGTTCATGTTGGGGAATGGTGCTGTGCCAAACACATAAAGGGTGTAACCGGTACCCCTCCAACTAAGTCTCAGTAGAGGACCATTAGGCATGCGTGTGTGGTGAATTAAAGTGGCTCTCATTTTCCTCTCTATATACTTCTCTTTTTTCTAAATCTTCAACAAGCACCTTTTAGAATATAAACATAACAAAACTTTTTAAAATTATATATTTTTCTATTTTGTTTGTTTATTTTGTTCTTTAGATTCCACATATAAGTAAAATCATATAATATTTGACTTTCTATGTCTGGCTTATTTCTTTTTTTCTCTTTTTTATGACATTAAAATACCTTCATATGAAATCAACAAACAAAATAGAAATAGACTCATAAATGCAGAGAACAGACTGATGGTTGCCAGACGGGAGGGGGTTTGGAGGGCTGGGTGAAAAAGGTGAAGGGATTAAGAAGTACAGATTGGTAGTTACAGAATAGCCATTGGGATGTAAAGTACAGCATAGGGAATACAGCCAATAATATTGTAATAACTGTGTATAGTGCCAGGTGGGTACTGGAAATATCAGGGGAACCACTTTGTAAAGTATGTGATTGTCTAACCACTATGTTGTACACCTGAAACTAATACAAAGCAATATTGAATATAAACTGTAATGGAGAGATAAAGTTTAAAAAATAAATAAATAAAATTATATCTTATGTCCCTTGTTTTGAACTTTGCCCTTCCTTTGAGAATCTAACAGTTTGGTTATGAGAAAACATACAAGTGAAAAACTATGAACATAGTATAGACAGAACTCAAGGCTGCAGTCCCACCAAATTTAGGACCTAGAAAACTTCCACCAATGGAAAAAGACTACTGTACTGAAAATGTCAATGACTCATGTATTTTGTGCTTATAAGACAAAGGGATGAGAGGGTGGTTCAGAGAGAGGGAAGGAACCATCCTGGTAGTGTTACATCATTGTCACTGTGTATTATGATGTACAACAATGCTGGAATTCAACCGGTGAGGGCTATACTAACTACCTGATCCTTTATCCCACTTTGTACATTTTATAGAGTGCATATGAAAAAAAAGCAGTCCTATTTTAAGTGCACCACTTAGGACTTAAGATTAAAAGATGTCAGAGATGAGGTTTTTGTAATGAATATCTGGATAGTTGGTATGCCAAGTTCATCCAACACTGTTGTCACATTCAGTTTTCCACATAACTCACTAACACCACAGAGCAAAATGTCCTACTTCATTTAACCATTTTCAGTGAAAAATATTCATCCTTATTAAAACAATATAATATTAAGTGGAGTAATATTTTCCACTAGTTTGAAAGTCTGACACATACTCATAATGTTTCCTGATTTTAAATTTTGAAATAGGCTCAAATGAGTAAGATTCAGTCCTGGGTCAGGCGGATGGCCAGGAGACATGGCTTTTGTTCTTTCTTTCCTTTTAGTAGCTGCTGATGTGAACATGCTTGCTTCCAGCTGACTTCAAACTTAACACATGCTATCTGCTCTTGGAAATCAGAGAAAAAACCTACGAGAACTTTGTGTAAATTAAGCACTCATAAGGTCTAACCCACCTCCTAAAGTCTTCTCCCATATACCATTTTACTGTCAGTTTTGAGGTAAATTGTGACAACTATGTCAGAGTTGGAAGATATTTTTACTTCCTTATTTCTTCACTCTTGGCTGTGTTCTGCATCATTAAATTCTCTCCATGGAATAAGTGTACCTNATTTTTACTTCCTTATTTCTTCACTCTTGGCTGTGTTCTGCATCATTAAATTCTCTCCATGGAATAAGTGTACCTGATTAACTGTACCTGATTTTCTGTATGTGGGTGCACCTGTGCATTATGACGAAGCACAAATCCACATTTTTCAAACACATAGGGCTCAAAATGTGTGAATTAATTCCACATTCAATAGACGCCTCGTAGATCCAGGAACTTACAGTCATTATCTATTATGTGAGTATTTATAATAAAGTTACAGTGATTATGTGCACAGGGATGAAGACCAACCAGTTAATCCTATAATATCAAAAGGGTATATCCAAACATTATAAAACTCTCTTCCCCAAGGAATTCTTATAATACTATCATGGATATTTAAAAGGCATTTCCATCTTTTCATTTTGAGAAATTATTCTAACAGGATTTTAGTTCACCATCTCTGTTTCTCACCCACTCTCCTTTTCTCAGAATGAAAGAGAAAATGTAAAAATATGTGAGAGGAAAATATAATACAATTACTGTAGTCCTTTCTCACTGTTGAAGTGTGTTTTGTGAATATAAAAGTTAATTCTCACTGAAAGTTTGTGATGCATCTTATAGCACTGTCTGCACAGTCTTTACTTATGTCCCAAGGAAATTTATGAATTCTGCATTTTGGAATTAGTTAAATAAATAACAAAAAAGTATGGTTATGATCCAACTTGACAAAGACCTCTGGTTTTAGGTTTAAGAATTTTACTGTTTCTATTTATTTCCCTCTTGATTTAGTTCAAAATAACTTTTCCTGGACTGATAAAATCTACACAATTATACTTTACGTCATTTATTGGTGGAAATCACGCCTCTTAAGCCACTTTCTGAGAAAATGCAGTGGAACACCTCTTCCAATTAAAGACATGCTTGACCATAGCTTAACAGTATAAACAAAAAGTACAAAGCAGAATGGGAATGTACTTTAATGTAAGTGGCATCACATGACATTAATCCTAAGAAAAAGAAAAAAGCTTGATCCTCAAACACCAAATGCTTCTCTTGCATCTTGGCTTGTTGTTTCTATGTGGAAGATCAGCAGCATATTCCATCACAGACCCAAGAAACTGTCTAAAAACACCCATATGACAAGAACAGGCCTATGTTGCCAGCAGCCACCATAATTATCCACCTCATGGTTTATTATTTACACATGAGCAGCGCAGCTGTGGAGCATCATAACTCAAGTGTATGTGTAATAAGTCACTGCACCACAGCCATCTCCTGTTCTGGCCCTTGACAAAACACCACATGATGACTTTTCCAAACTCCAGTTAAAACTGCTGAAGCAGAAGGAAGTGCCACTAAACCTAGCTACCTCCTATTTATCATACAATTTCCTGACTGATGGTTCCACAAACCAGCTGCTAAGTGCTGTGTACTCTACTGTCAGCAAACTAACGTGCTAAATGGAAGACAGGGAGAATAATGTGCAGAACTGGTGAAATCCATTTTACTGAGGGAATTAAAATTCTACCAGGTGGGGGTGAGTCTGTGGAGCAGTGGTAACCAGTCAACTGTACATGCTTATGGTTGCAATGATTTATTACAGTCTTGCAAGAGGTTTGACTATTGGACCAAATTCCTCTATACTAAACTGAGATTTGAAGAGTGCATATTATCCCAGGCTT